TGGTGATATAATTTATACTAGCTGACGTGATTTAATGGAAAAATAGACTTTTTCTAATTAGCTTAATAGTGCTTTTATGAGGGAGTCGTGGTGGTGAAATAGATTTATAAATGAATATGACTTGCTATCAATATTTGGCTTAAAATGTCATAAAATCCATATTAAATGGACTAAAAGTGGCTAAATGAGACATTTCAGAGTGTTTTTAATGTTGGGAAAGCATCAGTGAACAGGTATATGTTGGCTTGGTTTGTGGTCCAGTGTTATTCAAAACTTTCTTAGTGATTAAGAGGAAATGTTTAAGGGGCTGTTAATTAAGATGGATGATGAGACAGAGATTTAGGAAATTGGAAGGCAAATTACAGCTTTTTCTGTTGTCTGATGCCCACAAACAAGAACAATAGATAAAAAAAACCCCGCTTATTTCATTAGCAAACCCAAACGAGGAGGGGAAAAAAAATCCATTTGGGTTGAACAAAATTCTTCCTTTGACACAAGATGAAATATTTTCTTCTGGGTAGTAACAGGAGAAGTAGGCAGCCCAAAAACTGAGGGTTGAAGCAAAGAAAAACCCAACCAAAACCCCCAAAACTATTAAGAACTTCCAAGCACTTAGAAATGACAAAAATCCACTGATGTTGTAAGTGCACGTATAAGTAGAAAACACCTGAGAGCATGGGAAAATTGTATGAGTTGGACATTTGGTTGTATGGATTGTATGAAGCTGGGTCTGAGGAACGTGCTGAATGAATGTGCTAACATTTACAGAGCATCACTTCAGAGAGGAGCAGGCTCAGCAAGAAACTACGACAACAAACCAAAGCTGCTTTGCCTTTAAAAGTTCATCTTTGCCTCGTCCAAGAGAAGCACAAAGGTGACTGGGTCAGCCTGCAGGTGCATCCACTTGAGAAGGTTTCTGTGTGAGCAGGGAATTAACGAATTAACTGTGTGGCAGAATGGTGAGTCACCCCTCTCATCAGGGCTAATTTGGGAAGAGGTGCTCTCTCCTCAAAGGCTGCCTCTGGGGGCTGGTTGCAAGGGCCATGGCTGTGGTGACGCGTGAAGTCAGGCGGTGCGTTGCAGAGACATGGGAAAGAATGGTATCTTCAGACTATGCTGTGGGACAGCCAGCATTTCTGGGAATCTCAGTGCTGGCTGGGGGACCCTATGGGGACAAGTGTGGCCTCTCCATGTGTGTTTTAGAGAGGTCAGGCCATAGTCAGTGCCCTGGAACAGGAAACGTGGCTGCATGCAGTGTCAGGCACAGGCACGCACTGAGCTGATTCATCCAAACTCAGACCCAAATGGTCCTTCCGGGGCGCTCTGCTCCCAGGTCATTAGCCGTAATTCAATCAAAGCACACATGTATGTGGAGAAGATGCAGCCCTCATTACTGGAAGGAAATCTTACCCACTAAAACGGGTGTACTGGAAAAGAAATCAATGGTGGAAGGTTGCACTGGAAGGGATTTTGTGCAAAGAGTGCTTGGGGCTGGTGTGTGGGAGAAGCAAATCAGGGAGTTCAGCACAGCTCCAGGCACCCTCCCCGCAGCAGGGGTTGACACCGGGGCCGCTCACGTGGGCAGAAGTGTCACCAGGGCAGCTGCTTGCACAGGGCTTCTGCAGCCTGGGGCCTTGGGAACCAGTGCTACCCTAGTTAGTGCTTCTCAGGGGTGTGGGAGCTGCTCCAATTCCTCACCAATGCTATCTGCAGAGCAGATCGGGGGCCTGACATGTATTGGGATGGGGATGCCTATGAGAAAGATGGGCAATGCTCTGCCCAGTGTCCCCCAGTGCACCCAGGCGATTTGCTAGCCCAATCCCAAGGTGCCTGGCTGGCTTTGTGAGACATGAAAAGGAGGAAGAGTGGGCCACTGTTAGTCTCTGCAAGGCGGACTGGGGAAGGCAGCAGTGACAGGACAGGCTCTGGCCCAGCAGCACACCCTCACAGGTCCCATGTCATGCCCTTCTCCATTTCCAGTGACGCAAAGCAGCCGTCTTCCTTGTGCATCCCACAGCATGCTGCTCTGAGATGGGAAGGGACTGAGGCGGGAGAGTCGCGTGCTGTCAGGAAGGCAACAACCTGTAGTAGCTTGGCTCTGGGCAATGACCACTGAAGCAGCATTCCCCGTACTCCCTTCCTCCTCCCACAGCCTGCCGCTTGGCTGCAGCTGAGCTGAGGGACACATCCCACACGCGCTTGTGTACGTGGGTGAGCACACGTGTGTGAGGTTTTTCCCTAGCAGCGATGACGGGAGGGAAAGCTCCATTTCATAGCCTTGTCTCTAGCTGCCTGGGGAGGCAGGGCGGGGGATGCAGCAGGGACGAGTGGGTGGGGGACGAGGGATGCCACAGTGGGAACCACAGACGTCTACTATCGTGCTGTCTCCTGTGAGCCCCTGGGTGCCTCCAAAGCAGCGCACAGCCAAGAGATGTATTGGCCAGGGAGCCCCCACCCCCAGCCTTGCGCCCCCCAGCCTGTTCTCACTGCTGATTTCTCTATGCCGCAGGTGAAGCGAGCCAGAGGTGATGTGACAGGCATAAAAAGTGGCGTGAGCTGCCGCTTTTTTCTGGCAGGGAGGAGGAGATTTTGGTGTGGAGAACAGCACAGTCTGTGCCCTGGGAGAAGAGGCCTGACTATGCAGGGTGAGAGATGGAAGGGGGTACTTTTGATTGGGGACCAGCTGGAGCAGCTAAAAGGGTGTTAAACTGCAACAGCTGAGAAACACAGCTTAGAGGAGAAACGGCATGCAAACCCAAACTCCTCGCATGGGGGCCAGACTGAACCAGTCTGTGTTAATGAACTGGAAAAAGGGAAATTTCAACTGCAGCAGTTCTAGGAGTCTGCACACCCAGTCCAGGGAGGATGGTCTTAATTGCAAAGCCCTTTGGACTGGCTGTTGTGATGGCAGTGTTAGAAATTTCTTATTACAGCCTGCTCACACAGAAGTTGGGGAATGTAAAAGATAACATGATGTTGACAACACCAGCATTTGAGTGTCATTAGAGCCACGCAGTGAACGTGCTTACAATCCATAGAGAAGTGTGACATTCCTAAATCTGGTTACACGCCAATTTGCAGAGAAACTGCAGAATTTCTGTGTTCTGCAGAGAGGTTCCCTGCCTTAGCAAGCAGCCTTTTGGAGCTTCCTGAGCCACGAGGTCAGGCTCTGGCTGCCAGGGTTAGGGTAACGGTTAGAGCTTGCAGACACCTTGACCATGTCGGCCAGCTGAGCTCTTGAATTGCTTGAATGAATGTGCTGTAGTTGCGCATGAACAGCAGTAACATTGCACAAGTTTGAAATTAAAATTAAATTAATTAAATTAATTATTTGGCAATTAATTAGTTATTTTTTTTCCCGTTGGCCATATTCTGCCCTTTCGTTTCTTCCCTCCTCAAACAGAAGATACCAGAGAGCTTTGGCACCAACTCTGCCAGTGCTCAGTCGCTTCCCACAGATCCACCCAGGCGCTGTCAACTCACCAACACTAAAAACACAAGGGGATTCACTCAGTTAAAGTTTTACACTGCCCTGTGCTGGAGCTGATTTTTAGTCTGAACAGTGCAGGACTTGCAGGCCTGTTGCCTCAGGTTTGGCAACAGGATAGTCGCATTTGTACAAAAGCATTTTAAAGTTAATTAGAGCATTGCCTTTCAGCACAGTTAATGATATGAGAGGATGCGGTATGCCAAGGCAGGTAAGCTAGTCTGGGATTTGGACTTTCTGTGCTGCTGGCTGTAGGCTCTAAAGACATAGGAGGGAGAAGCTCACCCTGCAACTCCTGCAGGTTGTGGGCAAAGTATTTAAAGGTTTCTGGGGAGAGAGAGCGCAGCAGTGGGTAGCGTGGGCAGACAGCCTGCTGCTGAACTGAAGCTTCTTTATTTCACAGCAGGAGAAAGACTTGAAGTGTAGCAGACCATATGCATGTCCGTCTGCCCAAAGCTTTCCCCTCTTTATAACGATGGTACAGGCTGTGCTGAGCTGCAACTCAATAAATATCAGCCAATTCTCTCTCTCCAGAGGGGTAATTGCCTTCTGCCCCCTCCAAGGGCTGAGGACAAGTGGTGTAGCTGGAGTCATTCAGCTCTCCCTTGGGACTACAGCAGAGCCAGGCAGTGCAGTCACCACCAAACAGCCCCTCAGCCAGGTGTTTCATGGGTTCATCCTTTAGCACAGAGTAGCCTCAACGCTGCCACAAAGTCCTCCGGGCAGGCACAGTTATGCCTATTGTTTTAATTAATCATCTTCCCTTGGGGACTCGGGGACTCCCGAGTCCCAAGGCCTAGCTTTTGACTAGGGGCAAATGCAAATGGAGAAGTAAGGTATTGCAGTGATACCCATATATCTAAGGCAGTCACGTTGTCAACCTCCTGTCTTTCTTTTTCCTACACATGTACATGAACTGTCCCCAAATATGTGTGTGCCGGGACACACACATTTTATATTCCAATAGTGATAGGTCCCTCAGAGCTTTTTTTTCAGCCTCATCAAAGGCATAAATCCACATGCCTCTAGAATAAAACAGGACCGTCTCATCTGTCTGGGTAGTTCACTGGTGAATTTACATTCTTCTTTCCTTAGAGCTCTGGTTTCTGCATTTGTTGGGATTACGGGAACCTTTTGTGTTTAAAATTCGTGTCCCTTGTTTTCCCCAGGTTGCTTTCAATAGAAGGGGAAAATGAACAGAGGAACCAGCAAAGCTCATCTCACTTCTCAGAATTGATTCTCTGACCCTTTTTACTGTCTGTGCCCCTCTGAAAATCTCCTCCAGCTTTTACCTGCACCGTTCCACCTTTTGCAATAGAGGAAAGCCCCTGAAGCTTTTTCCACCCTTTTAAAAGAATCCACCTCTGCAGCCAGACACCAAGCTTCATTTCTGGTAAGGTTTTCAATCCCACTCACTCCTTTGTCTTGGCTTATACGTCACCCTCTTCCTCTTGGGTGGGCAAAAAGGGGACGGGTGCTGCTGCTGTGCTGACTCCTGACTGGGTCACCGAGTGCTGCTGGGCTGTCTGGGCTAGGCTATAAAAGAGAGCCAAGGCAGCGCAGCTGGCTCAGAGACGAGACTGAATTCTGCAGACGGCGAAGGACCCGCACGCAGCCTCTGCCGCCTCCTGCATTGTTGTTTTTTCCTGGAATACAGAACCAACCTCGGGAGCAAGATGTGCAAGGGACTTGCTGCGCTGCCAGCCACTTGCTTAAAAAGGTACTGTTTATTTCTGAGCATCTCTCAATGGTCTTTCTTGTTAGTCTGGAGATACACTGATGTATTGCGCTTCGTGTCTGAAGCAGAAGTGGCAGATTCGGCTCTGATTCTTTTGTAAGATAAGATACAAATGATTGCTTACAGGCTTTTTTTTTCTGTTAGTCAGAAGCAGAATTGCATAAAGGTTTTGTATGGAGCTGTGGGAGCTCTAAACCCATCCTTCCCATCAGCAAAACGAGCAGCTTTTAGCATTGCTATATTTTGATACTCTTTGTCATATGCTTCTG